CAGCAAAAAGTTCGCGTTTCGCAGCGTTCCGGTGCGCAAAATGGACTTCCAAAGTAATAAACCTGTAGCGAAGCACTGATCGATCCATCCTCTCAGTAAGTTTCAGAATCGGTTTTTCTAAATCTCTCTTTACTCAGTTCTGCTTCATGACTATCACTACCTCCATTTCCTCATAACTTGCTTAATGTGAAACAATTAGTGGTGTTGAGAGAAAAGATTGCAAACCAAAACCTGTTCTAGTCTTAGATTTAATGTTAAAATCTTGTTGAGGTCGATATTCGGCGCAACAGTAGAGTTATTTTTTGTAACGATCTGTGGTCTGTAGATAATGGGTTCCAAGTTTAGAAATAGTTTAATACAAGGGGAAAATTGTTTACAATATACGACCACTCTCCTTTGCCTTGCACTAGCCGAGAGGTAGTTCTTACACGGAAAAGCTCTTCGAAATTGCTTAATTGTGGTTTACCAACGTGTAGTTCAGAGTGCTTAGCTCTGATTTGGGTCCCGGGGGAGGGGGTTAGGTGGGTGGTGGGCTGTAATTATGTCTGGAAAACTACTACCAGTAATTCTTAGCTTGATGTTTATGAGTCTTATGGTAAACATATTAGCGTTTCAAGTTTCAACTAATTAATCGTTTTGGCTTCAAAAGAAGAAATTTGGAGCATTTTGCTTCTAACACAGCCATTTCAGAAGCTATTCAAAATATGCTAAAACTTTAAATAACTCTTTGTTGTCTTTCTCTCAAATTAGTTGTACTATCATCTTTTTCTGTTTGGATATATTTTATTGCTAGATGGTTGGGGGAATTTTAAGGGAACTACCACACACTATATTCTCATATTCCTAATTTTGGTCACAGTTCCTGAAGCTGATATGATCAATTGTATTCCAACTTTTTATAACAATCTCTTGAAGTTCAGGAAGTAGAAAATAAAGGGAAAGAAAAAAGAAAAGTTTCATTAGGATCGTCTCATCAATGTTGTAGTAGTCAGTGGTTTGAATCTTCCTTGTAGGTTTTTGGCATGTAATTGAGTGACCAATTCTGCTTGGATCTCGATGATGCAAACAGAAAGTTTAGTGATATATGCAAAACATGTGTTTCCTGGATTAAAGGATTGTTTTTAAAGAGTTTCTAGAGAAGTAGTAATCTGCTCCATCCTGCTTTGGTGATGTGTTATTCTTTTTCTTTTAGCAGGAGGCCTTGCATAGAGAGTTTAAACTTATTTTTTTCTTCTACCGTTTGCATTACGTTGAAAAAGAAAATCATAGAAACCGGAAAGTTAATCTTTCTTCAATAAGGTGCGTGAGATCAAGAGAGGAAACACGCCTTGGTGGGAGGAAAACGAAGTCTTCTTCTTCGTCTTCTTCATCTACAAGCGTCTTTTCACAATAGACTTCCCAGCCCATAATTCTTTGTGCTATTATTGGAAAGCCATGCAAAGGAAAGTTATCTTCTTTATTAATACTCAATCTTATCTAGGTAAGAATGTGAATTTTTACCCTTCTATGCATCTCTTCCCTTTTTTGGTTTTGCCTTGCCTAAGTAATTTACTTGTCAAAAAGATTGGAAGTAACTTATAAAGGAAGTACTGGAACTAGAAGAAGTTAGACTACGGAACGATAAGCAAATACTACGAATCAGTTCTTTAATGAGTTTCGTATATCATTTAGAAGTGGACTTGGAACTGCTGGACGTCACATGTTGTTGACAGGGTTATTAAAACACAGGACAGAAGCTGTTAGAAGTGCTTTAGTATTTGTCCAAGCAGGTCAATGTCGTTACTTAATGGACTTATTTTCTCACTGACCTATAAGTTGAAGGTTATTTGTTAGTTAATACGGAAATTCAAAGGCTTTAATATAATTCAGGGACCAGCTTCAAGTATTCCAAAGAGGGAGGCCCTCATAAGATACAAGCATTTGAACAAGCTTGAACAGATTTATTTTAGATCATTCATTTACAAACACTTACGAATTCCTGGTCCTTAATTAGTAAATTATGGATTATATTACCTGATTCAGGAAATAAACAACTAGCTAATGAAATTCCGGTTGCCTCACCATCCAATTTCTTTGAGATATGATGCTAACTTTTCTTTTGGATAGGTTATAGTATTAAACTTTTCTTTTGGGCAATTCCTTTTTTATTGTTAATTTGCTCCTGGTTTTTACACTCTCAGGCTTCAGTTCTGTGCTACATCTCAGACTGAATCTAATCTCTATTGTGACAACCTTATAGACTGCTGTATGTGAACTAGTTAAATCGCACATTTAATTCGAATCAAGGAACGGAATGCATTGAACATAGAAGAAAGGACATGAAAGCAAAATAATTTCTTTTTCCCAAGGTAAGAAGCATAAATTATTGCAGAATCTATATGTGCTTTTAATATACTTATTAATATCTGACTTTTGTTCATTTTTATAATCGTGATGACTAACTGAAAAAAATTCATCTTATGTTTCATGTGCAGACGCTACATGTGGAAGGTTGATGGTTAAGATTATTCTTCTCAAATTGTATCTTTCAGTCTTCAGCGATGTTGCTGAATGCGTAAGTTAGTGTTGCATATCTATGTTTTGTTGTTCTCTTAGTGTGGCAGGTCTCTATTTGTTGTTCTCATCTTCATTTTGTTTTTTTTCTGGATGATCCACATGTATGAACAGTAGCTTGACAATTATTGACTTTTTAAAAAGTTGGATATTTTGTTCCTTAGATTGGGGAATCGCTATGGATGATAATGCTCCAACATAAAAAAGCTGCACAGCCCAATGTTATCATACTGGCGTGCATCATTAAGTACTCTAATAGAAGAGCACTAACTTAAAACCTGAATTTGCAAAGCCTTATTGTTCCTATCGGTGTTGACTTATTTATCTTGGTTGATAAAAGCCTATTTCAGCACTTCAGTATTAGCTATATCCTCCAGTAAATTGAACTAACTGATAGGCTTGCAATTACTTGAACTTGTTTTCAGAGGCAGATCCAGAATTTTAAGACCATGGGTGCACCACGATACTTGTCATGATATCAAGAGATGTAATTTTTTTAGTGTTTTACGGCATATTAATAATGTTGCACATTATTTAAAGAGATAAAGTACAATCTTGCTAATCTAAATTTGTGTTTGTTATTAATATTATTAATTATATCTGGCAATCATTACATAATATTTGTCTTAACATTAAATTCACAATAAAAAGGAAAAGTAGAATGCTAATAAAAATTTAATACTGTAAAATATTTTATGGCCAAAAGAAGCATGAAAATTAATCAAAAAGCTCTTAGAGCATGTGATGCGTTACTTTATATGTGACTTGCTTAATCCAAAAA